TTTCATTAGACCCGGCACCTTTTTGTTCTTACGCAGTATTTTATATATGTTATTTTCAGGATAATCCGAAGTATCAAATTTACTGGAATCAGCTTTAATGATCTCCTCATATGCATCCTCACATTGCAATTCGTAGATAAAACTGTCTGTGTCCATGTACATGAGCTTACACCTTTCTGCACCCATTTTTGGTAGCATATAGGTGTAATGAAAATCATACATGACTAGTTTCGATAGGTCTAGAATTGCCTGTCCTACATACAGAGGTTTGTTAAACGTTATTTCAGCCTTGTTCAATTCGATAACCACCAGATTTTCCTCTAAAATTGTGCGACTGTGGAACCGAAAACTCGAAATCAAGTTTGCTGCCCCATAGCGACCACCCCAAGATTTAACGATTTTACATACGCGGTGCTTACGTATATTTTCCATGGTCTTACCGAATACTGCATTATTCATTAATTTAAAAAGATTTTTTTCGAAATCATTCCGGGCTGCAGCTCTACATCGAGTATTCAACTCGATGTAGGGTTTCAGCCAGGCTGCTTGTTTAAATTGTAAAATTTTATGGATTTTCGTTAACTTTAACCCATTAGCTAGCATTTGTTTTAAATTTTTATAGTGAACCGTGTACTCTTTTTTATCCGTAAGTGTTGCCATTAATTTCGGCAATTTTACCCCGCCGTCGCTGGGTGGTACGCTACGTTCTGCCGCAAACGGAAAATCTTTGTGTTTATCGTGCAGTTCTTGTGGGTACGATAGATCGACTTGTAGCACGTACCCTACGTCAGAGTCGTCGGGTATTGACATCACATCAAACGATGTTACATCATCTACCCATTTGAACCCTCCGTAGGGTAAGGGTTGCTGCATAGCATCCCATATAAGCTATTCACATCCAGGTACATAAGGTACTTGGACGGCTTTTCAGGATCATATTCGGGCATATATTTATTGTTGGCCTCCGAAAATCGGTTGCTACACACCGAAATTCCACCTCTTATAGCATTTTCGTAAAACATCACCATATCTAGATCCTTTAGTAGTTCTAACTTACACCCAGTGTATTTGAGCATACAGTCCCACGTATATCCGGGCATTGTATAGTACCACGCAGGATCCAGACCATAGGTGGAGAAACATTTTTTACGCAATTGCTCAAAAACGTCGGCAAGAAGCAGAATATCTGTTTTTAAATATATATCAGAATACTCTCCTAATGTTTTAATGTTAAACTGTTGCCAAACAGATTGCGCATGAGCATACTTCTCGTCACTTACACTTTCATCGTTTAATTTATTGTAAAATTTTTCAATTGGGGGCAAAGTCGTTTCATTTAATTTTTTCAACGAATCAATGTAATCGTAACAGAAAACTCCTTTCTGTGTTAATAATTTGAATTTATCTTCATCTAAATTTTGAAATTCCCTTTGTAAAATTTTCTTTTCTGATTCTGCTAAAATTGAAGCTAATTCATCAAGAGACGCCCCCATAAATCGAAAAGAGTCTATAAACCGCAATTTAATGTTATTTTCATCTGAGTGCAGCGTAAAGGAGATGTATTTATCTTTGTTGATGGGAAGTAGACTTAAGCGACCTTTTTTACATAAATTCGAAATCATAAAGTGACTATCGTACCCACTTAAATTATGGAATATAACCGGCACAACAAACAATTTTCTAAAGTTCAGATTGCATGCTTGGTGTGCGTAACCTCTGAACTCTCCACTGAAATGGTTGTGATCTCTAACGATTATGTCTTTTTTTGTTTTTGAAAATCTCTTACCGCAAATATGACATGATGTTGCCTTACATGTGTCTAATTTTTCAATCATAGGTACGCTTGTTTTTATTTTTGAGTTTACAAATTGCGCAACACCAGCCATACGATTTGCAAACCAATCCATACAATCTGCACCTCGATAGCTCTCGAAATAAGAAAGGCTATCATCATAGCTGCATTTTACATAGAAACCAGCACTATACGGAACGTGTTTTTGATATTTTATGGTTTTAGTTAAATTTACGACGCTACTTTCTTTATGATTTTCTAATTGACATTCAAAATCTGCATAAACAACAAAAGGAGTATTTTGTTGGTATGTAAAGTTTTTAAATTCAACGCAGCTCTCTTTAGGAAGGTTAATTTTATATTTATTAAATTTAGAACACAGTTTTTCATGTTCAACTAATTTATTTTGCTGATGGAAATAGTTCAGACATCTATCGCAAATAAATTTTTTCTCACGATGTTTATTTAACTGGCTACTAATAAGACGCGAAAGATTTTTAATCCAACAATAGTGATATTTAATTTCATCGATTGAATCATTATCTTCATTCGCTAGTGGTGGAGGAGCATCATAATCATTTAAACGCGGATAATATTTATTTTGAGCTAAAAGTAAATTAACATGCGTATCCCGTTTATTTTCCGTTAATCTTGCTGGTACTACTATGTAAAATGATTTTTTTTCTGTTTCGATCAATTCTAAAGCGTAAACATTGACTGAAATGTTATTCATCTTTTCAAATTTTGAAATTTTTGTTAGCAGCATAGGACTATCTAAATTTTCTGTTTGTAAAACGTCAGTAAAGTGTGGATATGAGGAGGTTAGTTCTGCATGTCTTTTTTGCTAGGAGTCCGAAGAGCGCTTACAATGGCCCAGTAAAAGCAATTTTGATCTATATTTTTAATGTTTATACAAGCATTTTTCCTTATAATCGGTTCTGGTAGTCTAATATAAGATGAACCGTTTCCCAATTGATATTTACTGATATTAACAACTAAGGAAATAATTTTATTTAACGCAAATCCCGAATCTTTTTCAGCAAATTCCGATAATTCGTTTAAAAGTTTATCTTTAACATATATCTTAAACCACTCGTCTATTTGAGTTGATGTATCAATAATATGATTTTTAGTATTAATATATTTAATTCCCAAAATTTCATTATCCCCCGATTTCCTAATAAACTCCCCGCAAAATGTTGTATTTACTTTGAGCGCACAATGGGTGTTCAAAATATTCCTAATTTTCCTTTTAAAAACAACTACACAATCTGCTAAAAATTGATTCAAGTCCTTATGACGCAAATTAGCTATGGAACCGGTTTTTATTCTACTTTGAAAGCTCGATTCTACATTTTCCCATCTAACCCTCTGACCCAATGTTAAGTGAAGTCCTGCCCCAATATGTCTAGTTAAAATCAACTTTCTAAAATGTTTAAAATGCCCCAAATTTGTTTCTACTTTTCTACAGGTCCCTACAGATAATTTATTTTGCCTTCTACTACGAATTACCCGTTTACATAATCTAATTTGTTTTTCTATTCGTTTCAGCCACACTTCCGCGTCTCTGATTGTAAAATTATCAAATAAAATTTTCCGTAGACTAACAATTGATAGTAGAACACCGTCTGTTTGTTTGATGATCTTTTTAACCTTATTTGAAGACATTTGAAAAGACGACATTTTTTTTTTCAAGCAAACACATTACTCAAAAATATATAAAAATGCTCACCCTGTCCTCCTCCTGTTCTCTGCTTTGTTAATTTTCCACTATTTTGAATGATGCTAGCGGTCGGCTTTTCCCTACGTCCACTTCCCCTTGGAAGATGATCGAGTATTTTCCGTGAAAAAGTTCGTCGATGACCGGCTGGTACGTTTCCGTCACCCGCTGTGGTAGAAATAGCACTTCCGGTCCTAAATCTAGTAGCACGGCTTCCCCAAATTTCGACTTGACCACTTTAGCTGCTTGGATTGCAAATGGTGTCCCAACTGGTAGGTCCTTTAATTTTCTGATAGGTTTGCGGTCTACAATCGAAGACGCAGCATTAATTTTTGATAAATCCATCTATAAAAAAAATTGAGTCGTCTAACTATTTTGAAGCATAACACGAAAAAAAAAACAGTTGCATTTAGAGACATAAAAAAGAAAAATATTAAATAAAATAGCACTTACTTTTTTTAAAATTTTCGCTCTCTCGTCTCTCTCGAAGCACTAATTGTACTGCGGTCGTTGTTGCAGCTTGCAGCGTTGTGCGTTAAGTGTGAAACAATGATGACTATTGCATGCGCTCGCTCAATATAAGTACGTAGTAGAGATGACACACGCGTGCATGAGATAATTGTATCGTAAATATGCATATTATATGCATCATATTCTCAGTACCATTTTTATCGAGAAAACTGCATGCGCTCGCTCAATATAAGTACGTAGTTGAGATGACACACGCGTGCATGAGATAATTGTATCGTAAATATGCATATTATATTCATCATATTCTCAGTACCATTTTTATCGAGAAAACAACATTCATTGCGGTTGCAGTATTTTTTATATAATTTCTTAGTAATACATGAATGTATCGTTTGTCCGGCGGAAATTCCAATTACAAGTTGCACATGAGAGTAGAATTTTAGAAATATAGAAATTCGTGTATGATTATTGTATATTTGCTGCCTAATTTTTTTTCAGTCAAGATTTTGATTGGGGGGGTAAACGAATTTATATTTGCTATCTGAGATTTTTGACATCATTCTCTATCAAGATGTTGATGTGGGTAGACGTATTATTTTTTATTTCAACTTTCACATACGTGCTTTGCAACGATTTCTCCGAAAAAGACGCTATAGTATACCTAACTCAATATGAACATATCATCGATAATACAACAGATCTCTCTACTTTGCTAACTAACTTGCAAGAAAAGTATAATTTACCAGTGGATGGATTGTTGAATAATGCAACAATTGAATTTATGAATCGTCCGCGTTGTCAATACAGTGATGCTGAATTTAGAGCAAGTTTTCCATTTCGGAAACATGACCTGAAATGGTATTTCCCTCGAAACACACCTGCGGCCCAAAAAGATGCAGAAATGGCTTTTCAGATGTGGCAAAATGTTTCAAACTTAACATTTACAATGGTTACCAATCCCACTCTATATCCTCCTGATATTACTATAACCATGGTTAGCAAGACTCATTATTTTAGCGCAAACTGTATGGGTAATGATGAATGTCCATTGACATTAGATGATGCTGGCGGCGTTTTAGGACATGCATACTTTCCTGACTCTAGCGGCACCTGTAGAGAAATCCATTTAGATATAAATGAACGCTGGTATTTTGGAAATAATCCTAATATACCCAAAAATCAAACTAGTTTTCTTATGGTGTTGGTTCATGAAATTGGACATGCCCTCGGCATAGCACATAGTGCTTCTCCGAATGCTATTATGTTTGCCTTCTATCAGCATGAGATTCGTGGTCTAGATGTTGATGATATAAATGCAGTACAATATCTATATGGAAGAAAAAACAAATATGATTCAATCCCAAAGTCTACCACCGCATCAGCAATACCAAAAACAACAACAACTATAAGATCTACAACTCGTAAGCAGCCGATCCTCAAAAATTTGTGTGATATTATTCCAGATTTTATGTTTTTAGCTATTGCTCCAGAGTTTTCAAATTACCGATTATATATTGCACATGATATGTTTATATGGAAACTAGACTTAAACGAAATGATTATCCCATCTCAGCCTGAACTTCTTGTCGATTATGTTCCTACAGAATTACGTCAATACACTTTACAACATATTTTCCAATCAACAAACGGTGACTTGATTACCATTGTGTCTCCAAACAACTATTTCTCAGCATCATTCCCTACCATTAAATTTCTTGATAATTTTTCAATTGATATACCCGATAGGGCTCGAATCAATGCTATTTTTCAATCAAACGCAGGACGGTCCTATACCTTTTATAATAATATGTCATATATAGAATTTTCTAACGATTTTACTGATGTGTTGAACAGAGGACGGATAAGAGACATATTTCCTGAATTACCTGAAGATATTTCTCTCGCATTTCGATGGATTGATGGCCATATTTACTTTTTCCGTCACGCAACTTACTATAAATTTAATGAATTTACAAGAAAAGTTGTTGCGACCGGACCATTTCATTGGACTCTATTTGGAGTACCATGCCCCAGCGAGGATTTGTTACATCAACTAAAAACTCTGTTATCTAAACTTGTATCTGTATATCATTAAAAAATACATTTTTCAGAAAGCTATGTTTATTTCGTATTCAGCCTGTTGTCAAACAAAAAAAAAACAGTCGGTTCCTTCGACTCCCCACCCCCCCCACCATCATTCTACTACATAAAGTTTCATTTTGAACGGTATCATCCTGTATAATAATAACAGTACATCGTATACAGGTTATGAGACATTCTGACCGACCGACCGACCGACCAGAGGAGCCCACCACGCTATTTAGGTCACGCCTTGCTATATACGATTTAACGATATACCGTCGGTCCATCGATCCGCTATTTTTCGATGCACCCCTGTATACACGTTCTGAATGCCCCCCGTAATCCACGCCAACACCAGACAGGTGCGACATCGGCGCCATCTATGCGCGAGATGCCCAACCCATCAATGGCAGCTGTCCAATGACACATAGATTCCGTTTGGTTTGTACAGCGCCAAACAAATCGGCGCCATCTATGCGCGAGATGCCCAACCCATCAATGACAGGTGTCCAATGACACATAGATTCCGTTAGGTTTGTACACCGCCAAACAAATCGGCGCCATCTATGCGCGAGATGCCCAACCCATCATGACAGGTGTCCAATGACGTATGACAGATGACGTGTAACGCCATCTATGCGTGAGATGCCCAATGACGCATGACAGGTGTCCAATGACACACAGATTCCGTTTGGTTTGACAGCGCCATCTAGCGGCGGAATCCCCAACTCATGATTACAGATTCCGTCCAACAACCTGTCAATGGCGCGCGACGCCAGCGCCTCTGGTGGCGGATTTTGGAAGTTTTGAGACCGAATC